AAACCAAACCAAACAAAAAACATACAAAGAGCCTTGTAGGTTATCCCACTCTAGGCTTTGGCCAGAGAATGCAGTTTCTTCTGCGGTTAGCAGGGCCAGCAGGTGTGTGCACTCACAACTGGTCAGAGGCTGAAGTAACTGGCTGCTCAGTTCTAAGTGGGACATCCACACAGCCCCACATAGGCTCAGGGGACTTGGAGACAGAGAGGATGTAAGGGCCTGGGGCTGGGGAGGAGAGCTGTGGAATTGTCTTCTGAACATGACATGGTGTGAGACTCATGTCCTCACAGCAGGTTTGTTCTTCTGGGAGACTGGTGCCACACCCATGCCTGACGTATACTCACAAAATAAATAAATACTGCAATAATAAAAAATAACTAAAAAAGGCATTTATGGAAAAAAAAAGGTAACAGCCTATGTTTTTGAGAGAAACGAATGGAAACACACACAAATGGAGGCCTAAGTCATGGCTACGTATTGTGGATTTGCTCTGTGGATACAAAGAAGCTGCAGAGTGCTGACAAAAGCAAAATGATTTAACAAATTAATTATATGTATGTATACGTGTGTGTGCGCACAGGTGCCATATCACACATGTGGAGGTCAGAGGACAACTGTGGGAGTCGATTCTTTCTTTCACCATGTGGGTCTCAGGGATTGGTCTCAGGTCATCAGGTTCGGTGGCAAGTGCTTTCATCACTGGGCCATCTTGTCAGCCCTAAACAAGGACTGTATGATTTATGCAGAAAAATCAACAAAAGGGCTGGAGAGGTGGCTCATTGAATCCTTGGCACCTCTGCCAAGATGCTTCCTGCATGGGTCTGGCCCTGGACTGGCCTCTTGGCTGCTGGATCTCAGAGCTCACCACAGGGTGGGAATGCCGCAAGCATTTCTGGCCTTAAGCTGGGCCAGTGCCAGCATTGCAGCATGGTTCTCCGAGTGGCCTCTTCTCCTTACCCCACTATCAGAGGGGAAGTTGCTGTGCATTGCTTATCTCAGCTCTGTGGGACGGGGGAGGGTGCAGAAGGCAGGCAGGCTGTTTCAGGGGGTCTGCCTGCTGTCCTGATGCACTCCTCCATGTCACTCTGGGGTCTTCTCTGGGGTCACCTCTTGTGGATGGCCTCCTGATCACTGAGTCCTGAACAGTCCTTCATCCTCCCAGCTCTCTGCTAAGTCCTTCCCAAGCTTCCATTGTCTGACTTGATCCTGTTACCTGTTGGCGACCCCCATCAGACATGTGCATTGTGACGACAGAGACCTAGTACTTCTTATGATTCTGCTTCCTGAGTCCAAAGCGGTAGGCCAGGGATACTGTAGGTGCTCAGGTAGCTCACCGAAGGGCGTATAGCCTCACCTCTCCATTTTAAAGAAGACAAGAGGCAAGCTATTAGCTTGAGTTTTCACAGCCAGCTTGGACTCAGTTCCAATGAATTTGAAGTTATCTCTTTCTGACTGCTAAGGAAGGAAAGGTGAGGTTCTAACCAGCAGGTAGCATTCACGAGAGTCTAAAGGGAGTCCAGGAGCCATGCCTGGCGTCACACACACAACTGTAATCCCAGCACTCAGGAGCCTGAGGTAGGAGAATTGCTACTCGCACCACTGTGCTAGGCTTTGTGTGTGCATGTGTGCACGAGTGTATGTATTTGTGTGTGTGTGCAGATGCATATGCACACATGTGTACATGTGTATGGCGGTCAGAGGACGAGCTCAGGCATTACCTTTCAGGAGTTTTTCACCTCCTGTTTTGAGTCAGGGTCTCTCACTGGCCCGGAGTTCTTCAGATGGGCTACAGTGGCCTCAAGGATCCATCTGGCTTTGTGCCCTGATACTGGGGTTACAGGCACATGTAGCCATGCCTGCGTTTGTTTTTTAATTAAAATTTTAACTATTTGTTTATTTGTGCACGCTCGAGTGAAGGTCAGAAGACAGCTTGTGTGAGTTGGTTCTTACCCTCCTAGGGCCCATCTTGAAGGCAGGCCATCAGGCTTGGGGGCAAGTGGTTTTCCTTATTCCACCATCTCACCGGCCCATGCCCAGCTTTTTCCAGAGGTGCTGGGGACTCAACCTCAGGTAGGACCTCATGCTCAATTAGTGAGCACTCTTACCCATGGAACCATCTCCCCCAACACACCTGTTTTAATGTGCATGTGTGAGTGTGTGCACATTCCTTTGTGTGTGGGTGAAGGCACCCACCTTGTTCCCGTGGAGGTCAGTGGACATGCCCTCACATGCCTCCCACCTATTTGAGACTGAGTCTCTGGAACTTGCATGTATAGGTCAGGCTAGCTGGCCTCTGAGCAACTCAACATCTGTCCGTCTTCACCTACCACCTGGCATGGCTGCAGTTACAGTGTGTGCTGCTGCTGCTCATGTTTTTTTGTTTGTTTGTTTGTTTGTTTTAGACAGGGTTTCTCTGTGGCTTTGGAGGCTGTCCTAGAACTAACTCTTGTAGACCAGGCTGGTCTCAAACTCACAGAGATCCACCTGCCTCTGCCTCCTGAGTGCTGGGATTAAAGACGTGCACCACCACCGCCCAGCTTTGTTCATGGGCTTTTATGGGGGTTGTGGGGATCCAAACAAACCCTCACAACCGCCAGGTACCTAAATTCCTGACTGATCTGTCTCCCCAGCTAGGCTTATTCATTTATTTGATTGTTTTTCTTGCTGTTGTGGCTTTTAACATATTTCTTTATTTTTGAGACATGGTCTCACTATGTAGCTGTGGCTGACCTAGAACTCACTCTGTAGATCAGGCTAGCTTTGAACTCACAAGATCTGTCTGCCTCTGCCTCCAGAGTGTTGGGATTCAGGTTGGTGGGCTATATTGGTTTAAATAAGATTAGCACCCATAGGCTTATATATTTGAATGCTTAGTTACCAGGGAGTGTCACTATTTGAAAGGATTGTATCGGTTAGTGGGTGTGGCCTTGTTGTAGGAAGTGTGTCACTGGAGGTCGGCTTTGAGGTTCCAAAGCCAGGCTCCATCTCTCTCTGTCTGCTGCCTGCAGGAGTCTAAGGCTTCAGTTAGGACTCTGGCGCCATGCGTTCTGCCATGCTCCCCACAGTGAAGATCATGGATTAGCCTCTGAAACTATAAGCAGGCCCCAGTTAAAATGCTTTATTTTATGAGTTGCCATGGTGATGGTGTCTCTTCACAGCAACAGAACTGTGACTAAGACATAGGCTACCATGCCTGGCAAGATTTTATTTTAATCGTGTGTTGGTGTCTTTGTGCAGGTATGTGCATGTCAGTGTGGGCACACAAGGAGCCACAGGAGAGCTGAAATTATGGGATAGGCTCTCACTGCAGCCCACACTGGCCTTGAGCTCCATTCCTTTCTCAGCCTCTCAAGTGCTTGGATGGCAGGCATACATCCCGCTAACTGGGCTGGAGGCAGTACTGGGGTGTAGAGGGAGCTATCTCCCCCTCACCTTCTTTCTCAGCTGCTGAGTTGGAGCTCACCCTTCAAGACTCCCTCCTCTGCACCACCCCACAGGAGGGCCAGGAGGGGAGGAGGCAATCTGCTGGGCACAACATCCTGGGTATGGGAAGAGAAGGTGGAGGGCATTAAAGGGCCCTGGGATGCTTCCAGTGTGGGGCCGTGCGAGTCCAGCACTATAAATAGCCCTACATTGACAAGGCACTGTTTTCAGCAGGGTAAAACAGCACTGTAGAGGCAAAAGCTTTATGTTTTAACAAGCCTGAGTTGTTGTTTGTTTGTTGTTAGTTCTTTTTGAGCTGTGCAACTTGGGTTAGATACTTCCACTCTCTGAGCTTCAGCTTGCTTTTCTGTTGACATTCAGTGAAAGGTTCAGGCATTATGCTGCTGGCCTGCCCCGGTTACCTGGCAGAATGCACTCAGGCGGTACTCTGGTCAGCCCAGGGTTCCATGAGAACTAGTCTGCATGCAGGTGTAAAGGACCCCTTTAC